TTTTAGTATAGACGGGTGGTCTCACTCTTGCTCAGGCTGGTTTCAAACTCCTGACCTCAAGCGATCCTCCCGCCTCGGCCTCCCAGAGTGCTGGGATTATACAGGCGTGAGCTGCTGTGAGCGGCCAACTTGGACTGTATTTTTATTGAAACGGTTTGCTCTGATCGCCACAATGGACCCTGTGCTGACTGCAGCGATGCTTGTTAATTACCCCTAAGGTAGCCGCTGCGTGTGCCTCAGTTTCCCTGCTCTTGTAGTCACCGTACCTCTTGAAAGACCCCAAGCCTGGGAAGCTTAAAGGGAACTGCTAGAAAGCCATAAAAGTTATGCAGGCCAGGCGCGGAGGCTCACGCCTGTCATCCCAGCACTCTGGGAGGCCGAGGAGGGAGGATCGCTCGAGGTCAGGAGTTTGAGACCAGCCTGAGCAAGAGCGAGACCCCGTCTCTACTAAAAATAGAAACAAGTTAATTGGCCAACTAAGAAATATACAGGAAAAAAAAATGAGCCAGGCATGGTGGCGCTTGCCTGTAGTCCCAGCTACTCGGGAGGCTGAGGCAGGAGGATCACTTGAGCCCAGGAGTTGGAGGCTGCTGTGAGCGAGGCTGACGCCACGGCACTCACTCTAGCCCGGGTGACAGAGTGAGGACTCTGACTCAAAATCAATAATAATAATAATAATAAAAAGTTAGCAAGCCACACAAGTGATGAGAGATGAGGACTCTCTGCAGCAGCCAGACACGTCCACTCTCGACTTTGCAAAGCAAACTCGAGGCTCAGAGAGAAAACCTACACTTAATCGCTCCGCCCCCTGGAGTCTGATTTGCCATTCAAGCTTTGAGAACGTGTCAGGATGAGTTCAGTTGCCTTGTTCTGTGACTCTCCGGAGAAACCTCGGGGGGGAGAACCTAGCGTCAGCTTTGAGAGAAGGGACTAGAAGATCAGGAAAACTTTTTCTTCCCGTTACGCCTCTATTCTCTCGATCCGTTTTCCTCTGTAGTCTTGCTCAGTTTTCTGCACTATGTCTCTTACTATTCTCAGCCACGGCGTGGAACAGCGACGTCAATAAGAATTTCACAAACGCCTGCTAAGGCAAGGGCTCTGCTATCTCATTTCCCCACAATTTTTATTAGGTTGAAACTTTATCTTTGCCCTGTCATCCGGCACTCTGGGAGCCGGAGGCGGGAGGGTCGTTTGAGCTCAGGGAGTTCGAGACCGGCCTGAGCAAGAGCGGACCCCGTTCCTACTAAAAAAATAGAAAGAAATTTGCTGGGCAAACTAATATTATGTGTGTGTGTGTGTGTGGTAAATTAGCGCGGTCGTGGTGGCGCATGCCTATAGTCCCAGTTACGTTGGAGGCCGAAGCAGGAGGATCGCTCCAAGGTCAGAGTTTCAGACATGCAAGAGCAAGAGCAAGAACCCCTGCTGTACTAATTAATTGATCGACTAAAACAAATATAAGAAAAAAATGAGCCGGCGGCTCACGTTGGCGCATGCTGTAGCCAGCTACTCGGCGAGAGGCTGAGGCAGGAGGATCGCTTGAGCCCAGGGGTTGGAGGTTGCTGTGATGGAGGCTGACGCCACGGCACTCACTCTAGCCTGGGGCAACAGAGCGGAGACTCTGTCTCAAAAAAAAAAAAAAAGAAAGAAAAGAAAAATAAAAAGAAAAGGAAAAGAAAAAAACTATTATCTTTGTTCTTTACTATCTCACCAGTTTCGAGAACGAGAACACCAACACGCAGAGAGAGTTTTAGCGACTTCTCCCAAGAGCTCTAGCTGGTGCGCGGTGAGACCCAGATTCAAGCCAAGAGGATTTGCTCCGAATGAGGCTACTGGAAGTGCAATCTGGGTAGGGGCAGCATCCCAGTCACCTGGGAGCCTGTGGCATATGCAAAGAATCTTAGCCCCTCCCCCCACCCCCGCCATCCCCGGGATCAAAGCCTACACGCCAGCTAGACTCTAGGCTGGGCGTCCTCAAACGACAGCCCACGGGCCACACGCGGGTGTCTCTGCCCGTTTGGTTTTTTCACTTCAAAATAAGCTGCGTGCAGTGCGCATAGGAATTGGTTCATAGTTTTTTTGGGTTTTTTTTTTGAGACAGAGTCTCACTCTGTTGCCCAGGCTAGAGTGAGTGCCGTGGCGTCAGCCTCGCTCACAGCAACCTCGACTCCTGGGCTCAACGATCCTCCTGCTCAGCCTCCCCCCGAGTGGCTGGGACGTACAGGCATGCGCACCAATGCCGTGTAATTCTTTCTATATGTGAATTAGTGCCTTAATTATTTCTATTTGATAGTAGAGATGGGTCTCGCTCTTGCTCAGGCTGGTTTCAAACTCCTGACCTCGAGCGATCCTCCTGCCTCGGCCTCCCTAGTAGCTGGGACTACAGGCATGAGCCACCATGCCCGGCACATTTTTTTTTTCTATATATTAGTTGGCCAATGAATTTATTTCTATTTATAGTAGAGACGGGGGGGTCTCGATCTTGCTCAGGCTGGTTTCGAACTCCTGACCTCGAGCGATCCTCCCGCCTCGGCCTCCCAGAGTGCTAGGATGACAGGCGTGAGCCACATAGTTTTTTTCTTTTTTTTTTTAAACTAGAGTCCGGCCCTCCGACAGCCGACAGTGAACAGTGAACTTGGCCCCCCCACCCCCACCCCGTTTAAAAAGTTTGAGGACCCCTGCATTAGGCGCTTTGTAGATTCTGCTCATGCTTAAGAACCTCGACCAAGAACGCACGCCCCATTAATTAGTCTGCTGCACTAAACATACTTCTGTCCTCAAATTTATCTCTGCTATCCCGATCCCTCCCAGTTTTTAAACTCTTCTTCTTTAGACCACTGAGGACCACGGTGGAGCTCTTTGGAAGCAACCTCGGGTTTTTGGGCAGTAAAAGCAGGTGCCCGGAGGGGCGGACGGGGTAGGAAGTAAGCAGGTAGGGCAGGACACTAAGCCAGAGAGCACATTTTACTCTAGAATGTACTATTTACTTTCTAAGTTCAAAGAGAACAGGCACTTGGACTGTCTGTGCAGGGTCGAGGGGCTGGGGGAGAGGAATAGAAGAGACAAAATACATGTGTCAGGACACTGAGTACAAATGGGATAGCTAATGAACAGTCCTTAACGGATTTTGGAAGAGCCACAGGTAAGCCCTGACAGGGTGGAAATAAATAGGTCTCGGAAGACGTGTGAAGAGTCCTTGCACCCTATTTTGATTTCCTTGTTAACGTCTCCCAGGGAAGCAAAGGAAATAAATAAATACACTCTGTGCATTTCACGAGGCCGGTTATCCTGGGCCAGTCCTGGACCCTGACCTCCTTGGGGACAAGGCTTCTCATGAGACACCATGTATCAAAAACTGTTCCTCGTCAGGGCATCGACCCCCACTGGCCCCTCTCTTTGCTGTCAGGTAATCCACTCATTCCTGGAATAGCCCCACAAAAGAGTCAGCCTTCTGCACCCTGCAGCTTGCTCCTTGCAGACGGGTAGCTTCACACGGAACCACGTACCGTGTTTGCCTGAAAATAAGCCCCACCCATAAAACAAGCCCCAGCAGGATGTCTGAGCAGGTGCGCAATAGAAGCCCCACCCCGAAAATCAGCCCTAGTGATGGGCGTGGCCGTGAAAATCAGCCCTGGTGATGGGCGTGGCTATGAAAATGAGCCCTAGTGGTGGGCATGGCTATGCAGATCAGCCCTGGTGGTGGGCGTGGCTATGAAAATCAGCCCCAGTTATGGGCGTGGCTATGCAGATCAGCCCTGGTGATGGGTGTGGCTATGAAAATCAGCTCTAGTGGTGGGCGTGGCTATGAAAACCAGCTCTGGTGATGGGCGTGGCTATGAAAATCAGCCCTGGTGATGGGCGTGGCTATGAAAATCAGCCC